GTGTCTCTTGATTTGGATCCATGGGGTTTGTTAAGTGACACCAGTGTCCTGAAGTGATAAGGAAAGGTAATACAGTCCAACATAGAATATTTAAAGTTACTAAATACAAAATGTTTCATTTCTCAAAATGAAAATTGCCTTCTTTCTCCCATAGTGCTCTTAACTGTTCCAGATGAAAATTACTGAGTCACCAGATGGACTTAATAATTGGAATTTAACAAAGTTTTTAGCAGTTCTATTTTTATTATATATCTGTAATGAGCAAATTTGTAAAACCAAGGAAAGAGTATAAATTAAAGCAAAGTGGTGCTAACAGAGTTCAAATGGTTTGAATTCTAGAGGGGGTTGTTAGTCTGGCTTTCTTAGTAATCTGAAACTCTCCACGCTGTGACTGGAGATTGGTTTTGAGGCTAAGTCAGAGTTGTGAAAAGATGCATTATGTTTGATTAAATTTTACTTCTGAGAGGGTTTCATGACAAATGAGACATGCAAGGAGAAGTGATTTCCTGAAGTTTGTATGTCCAGAATCAAACCTGACTTTTTCCTTTGCAACCAAACTGTCCCCTAGTCCAACTTCTGACAATTGTTTTGAACTCCTCCAGTGTTTAAAATTGTTTTTCTGAATTTTCCACATGCTGTCATTTGCTTTCAGAACCTCTCTTTGTTCTTGCCATATGCAATACTGTTTCTGTTATTCAAAATGAGAAGTGGCACATCTTAGTGAATAGAAAGTTTTGTACTGTTTTTATACCTTAATTGGGATTAATACTTTCCTGTTCTTTTATACATGCAATTACTTCTTTAGATCTACTTAACAGATTTCTCTTCCATGTAATTTGTGTATTCATTTGCTGCAACAAGGACTGACATTTGAAAAAGCCTGAAACCCCTCTCCTCCAAATATTTGGATGAAGTCTTTAATTTTAAAGAATTTTGCTTTCTTTTAAAAATTATTTATTTAAAGTGAAATTCACATGTTGACAATTTGTGTCAAAATGAAACCAAACTTATCAATAAAACTGTTAAGATGGGAAAGGTGTCACACCCTGTTCATCATGTGCACGTTGCTCACAGTCCATTGGATGCTACAGTAAGTTAATTCCTGACAAGAGTCACTGTAATAAATGGATTTGTTGATAGTAAAGCAAGACTAAATTGCTCAATCCTCTGCTCCAAATAGCTGACCATGGTTTTTACTAACAGTGTCAGTCAGTTTAAAGCCAACAAATAAATTGCTAGGACATAATTGTTTCCTTTGAGTGAAGTGTAGGTAATTTTTTTAGACCTTGTTAGATAGCTGGGCTGGCTAACCCTGGTTCCCTGTAAAAATATCCTTCCTTTTCTGCCCCAGGCAGAAGTAATTTACAGTTACTCTTCTAATCACAGGAGAGACATGATTGCAAACAGTATTTGTGGATGCTATGGGCAAAGAATCCCCTGGTACACAAGAGCCCCTGGCAAGAGTGTTGTCTGGAGCCATGTGTGGGCCCACAGGCTGATCCACCTCCTGCACCAGGCTGGGGCTGGGCTGAATCTTGGTCCTTCTGGCAAACACCACTTCAAAACCAAATTCCCTCGTGTGGAGCCAAAATCCTGCCTGGAGCAGCTGGTTCTGGGCAGGAATGCTTTAGGTGCTGTGCATATATCAAGTAGCGGAAGTCATAATGGTGTCCTAGAAGTGCTTTTGTTAGACAGTTCTTGCTGTTTTTTTTGGACCTGATCAAGAAATGGTAATTGAAATGGATCATAATTGATTTCAGAGAGTTCTTAATGCAGTGTCTCTTAGTGCCCTGGGTTTTGCCATTTGAAAAAAACTAATTTTCTTTTGAAAAGCCCGCTGTGTGCCTGGTCTCTTTGGAAAGGCAGGAGCCTGTGAATAGTATTATCATATATAATGGTACTACTTATCACATTCATTCTGATTATGTAAAACTGAAAATCACTGCAGTGAAATGAAGTTTCAATGTTTTTATTCAAAGCAGCTTCTCACAATGTATAAATACTGCATATTAACACACATGAAAAATACAACTTCTAAGGCACCCAGAAATGTGTCCATACACTAGTTACAGGACCATCAACAAATAAATTGTGTACAATTTGATCTAGACAGTCAATATTTGATATATCAGAAGATACAAGTCCCTCAGTACTGTACCAGTTTCAGAAAATATTTACAACACTGTGATATAGGGGTGCCTGTACCCTTATAATATTATAATATGTACTCATCATTACAAATATTAGAAACTGTTTTAGTCTGTTCCATGGCATTCTGACAAAATAACTTAAGGGCCTAATTTGCAAAGTTCTACAATTAACTTTTTGTGCAAGTTCTGAAAATAAATTTACATTGACGTAACTTGTGAATTTTTGGTTCTTTGCTTCATCTCAGAGGTTTGGTAATAAGCCTTACCAATAGACATGCCATCCCAGCTGAACATCACTCCTTTCCCAATAGCTCAGTGGATACATCTTTCCCCCTTACACCTGACATGGATGAGGATGCAGTGTTTGAAGCAGAGACTATTTGATCTTCGGTACAAATGTCAAACTAGTTCACTGGCAAAGGAACTAATGAAATTCTTTGGTCCTTTGTTTTTTATGGAAGGCATAACATCTTTATTCACTAAAAATCAAAATCCTGTCTGTGAGCAAGCAAGCTAGTGAATGATTTTCAGTGTAGTATTTAAAATAGCAGTAAAGAGATTTAATATGGCTTAAAACATACGGTTAATTGGGCAGACACAGATAACACATCGAGGATAGCCAGTACCCAAATGTACTATGATAAGATTGTCTATAAGTCTCTTATGTAAACTTCTTTAGTGTCTCCTAAAGAGTGCTGGCTTTAGCCAGATTTGACTTTTATAGACCCAGCCACACAAAGCCTGAGATTAAACTACCATGGTTGGGAGCACAAATGCACAGTTTATATATAACAAAGCCCATGCTGACAAGTCTACCTCTGTTGTTCAAAAGAAACAACCCGTATTATCCTTTTCACAAGAAAAACTTAAGGCCCTGTACTCTGATTTCCTAACTTTCTTACAGCAATTATTTGGGGAAGTCCTTAGTACTGCATAAGCAATTATGCAGCTTTAAAGATTTCTTGTACCTAATGGTAAGGCTTATTCACAAATGCAATGCATTTATAAATTATATTTAAAACTGTAAAGGCTGGCAAAATAATTAAAAAACCCAAAACCAAAAATAAAACAAACCCCAACCAAAATTGTTTGTTCATCCCTAACATTAAAAGAGCATTTTATTCTAATGAAAAACTATTGGCACAAAACCATTATATTATAGATTAAAAGAACAGTTCATAGTAGTGAAAAAGATTGCCTAAAACGCATACCCTAACCTACCACAGAAATATAAAAGTTTATATTTTGAAAATATATACTGTATTAAAGTTTGTAAGCTTATTTATTTAAACAGAAATGTACTGAAATAGTAAACTAAGCAACACTTATCTACAGCAAAAATATACATGCAGGACAACACAAAATAAATTGCTCACCTTTAATATCTACAAATGCAAAACTGTAGAATTTTAAAGATTGTACAAAACAATTTACACAAGAATAAAATAACATACTTAAACAACAAATTGCATTTTTAATCTTAAATACTGTGAATATTAGTAAAGGTACCCAGACTAATATGTACAGTACATCTAGATATCTGAATACCTAGTAAGGATAGAAACACAAGAGAAAATTCAGATTCTGATATTTAAATACAGGAAAAGAAGATTTCAACATTGTTATTACTCTTTTTTGAAGGGAAAATAGATTCCATGAAAACTAGATTGTAACTGTATAGATATGAATGATTAAAAATGTTAACTATGGTTAGCGCTTGCTATAATGGAAAAATAATTATAGAAAATGTATTTCAACTATTCTTTTGTCATAAAAAATGCTAAGATACAGATATCTGAAAGTTCAGATGAAATGGTGCAGTTTAAAAGATCCAACAACGTAAGATTCTTCTCTGTTTGCAAATCTCATTCGGAACGCATTCCTTCACATTGCTGAGCAATCTTGCTATATTTATCTACAAAAACTAAGCATAGTATTGAAATAAACTTCCTAATATCTTATTAGCACATGACTAGAAGTTATGGCTCTCTGGATGGGAATAAAGGAAATAAAGGAAATCGAGGAATCGTGGTACTTTTTCCATTGCCTTTTTTTGTTTTTCTGAAGGTGTATGCTGGAGGCCTGATTGTGCAAACTCGTGCGTGTGTGTGTCTGTGTGTATGTCTGTGTTTCTGTCTCTGTGTGTGTCTGTGTGTGTGTATGTCTGTGTTTCTGTGTGTGTGTGTGTGTGTGTCTGTCTGTGTGTCTGTGTGTGTGTATGTCTGTGTTTCTCTGTGTGTGTGTGTGTGTGTGTGTCTATTTGTGTGTGTGTGTGTCTGTGTGTCTGTGTGTATGTATGTCTGTGTTTCTCTGTGTGTGTGTGTGTGTGTGTGTCTATTTGTGTGTGTGTGTGTGTGTGTCTGTGTGTGTGTCTGTGTGTGTCTGTGTGTGTCTGTGTGTGTGGTTTTCACTGGGGTGATCCCTCTTTTTCCAGGTGACTCCGTGTGCACCTGCCCTGCCGGGGGCTCAGGGCCTCAATCCAACGCGCCCCGCGGCGCTGCTGGCAGGTCGTGGACAAGAACAAGGGCTGGTATAAAACAAGTGGTGCATCCATCACTTCAAATAGTTATTGAAAGAGTTCTCTTTCAGTCATTTTAAAATAAGCTAATGGTTTCAATAAGTTTCTTTTAAAAAACATTTTAAACAGGCTAATTAGAAGCCAGATTCTGTCTTTTTAATGAAGAATTTCCATGAGAACTTCTGCATTTAGGGTAATGATTTCCTTAAAATTCAGTTGTACAATTAGAGCATAAAAACAGCACTTCTAATTATTTGTGGAAAAAGAAATGTTGCATTAATATGTTGAAGGCTACTCTTTACTGTAATCACCTGTTTGTTAACTTTACAAAGGCTTTGTTGAAACTCTTTATGGAAATGCTAAGAGGGAGAAAGCTGAGCAGCCTCATTTGCAGAGGTTTAAATCATAATAAGTCACTGAGCTCAAGGATGGAGAGCAAGTGCACAAATTACAAAGCAAACAAATGTGCAAAGCTTCTGCTTCAAGAGGTTTCAATTTGGGCATACTATGATGACAGGTGAAGTCTCAGAGCATGCTCCTGTCCTTTCCACACAAACTGCCCATAGCAGGAAAGAACTGAGAGAGATCCAGTGTTCAGAAGTCAGTCAGTGTCACTGAACAGTACTAGGATCACATTCCACAAGAGCAGATTGGATTTTCCTTGTTTATTGTGGACTGCTTTTATGGATAGCCATAAGTTCTTGTAACAGGTGGTGGGGTGGCCAGATGTGGAGAGCTGGGAAAAGCAAAACAAAACCTCTGCCTCCACTGAGTTCAATGCCTAGCACCTTGTATAAACTGCTGGCCCACACCCAAAGGCCTCCAGAGCAGAAATTATCTCACACCTGAGGAATCAGGCAACTAGACTAAGGCTCATAAGGATTTGCTTTTAGACTTCAGACCATAAGGGTTGTTTAAACCTGAAAAACAGTACGATGCCACGCAATGGCACCACTCACCCTGCTACTGATATCTGGCTAACAGGAATATAGTAAACTTAAATAAAGCATCTGGTTGGCGAGCCCTTCAGTGCTCCTCAAGAAGGCAGAAAGTGAAGAGAGACTTAAGGGGGATTCATTGGGTCAAAACCCACTTTTTTTCTCTTAACCCTGGCAAATGAATGAATCTATCTTCATACATTTTTTTGTACAGTTTTACACATAGAGGAGCATGCACGTGGCTGTTTCATTAACTGCCCACAATATTCTGTGGGTTTTCTATATATTCTTTATTTTTCTACTCAGTTTGCTGCTAAAAATGTGTTTGCATTCTCATGTGATGCCTTTAATTCAGTCAAAAGGGAAATATGAAAATAAGATCTGTGATCAATAAACAGCTGAATATGAACACAAAATAAATAAGTTAAATAAATTTAACAAAGAAAAAAATTCTAGAATTTTTTGTAAACTAACTTTACATATTATACATATAAATTATCAGATTTTTCCATTAAACTGTTAGAAAAAAAATAATTAACATATTTCTAACGTATGTTTTTTGGGTCTCCCAAAGGTCGCGCTGACCCGGATTTTAGACTGAGCCCTCTGTGTCAGCCCAGGTGTGCTGCAACAGCAAGAATAAGTTAAGAAGGACAGACAAAATAAACCCTTACAGGTGGGTGAGACTTGCTGGGCCTCAGTGGTGCTTCTCAGCACGTGGAATGTAGAGTTGGATGTGGATGAGCAATGTGAAAGATGCAGCCTCTGCACAGGTTACGTGCACTGAACGCCTGCCCACGTCTTGGTTACACAAAATCAAACCGGCTACAAGCAGCTGTGCAGCTCACACAGCCACAGGCATTGGGATCACTGTCACAAATTCCTCACTGATGCATTGCCTCTGCTTCTCAAACATGGTCATGTCTGACTCTGGTCACAACTGGAGCGATTTCTCTTTAAATTAGGCCAAGATATCAGACTTCATAAATTTTGTCTTGCAAGTAGCTGAATAACGAATCCAGTCCTTTGGAAGAACTCCACAGCTGTTTTAACATCTGACATTCCTTTTCGTTCACCTCTTCAAGTCCGGATTTCAGGAAGCTCCGCACGAGACATTTGGACTCTTCCAATACCTAAAGCCAAAACATGACTCAGTATTTGATTCTGAATCTGAAAAAATTACTATGGATAATGGTGTGACCAGCAATTTTAGACTACTTACTCTTTTATGATCTAAATAACTCCTCTGAACACAGAAATTACATTTGATTTCTAGCCACAACTCCACTTGCTGATAGTCAGCATCTTTAAGAATTGATGGGTTGATGGGTTAGTGTCAGGTTTTTAAAAGAATGAGAGATTCTAAAGTACCTGAGCTTATTGAAGGTCTGCCATGAAACACAAGAAGCTGAACTTCCTCACACTGAAATGAAAATGTGTGAGGGACAATATACTGGCTACCTGTTTTCTGGAAGGTGGTCTTTAAGGTTAGACATGTTGAAAACCCAAATATGGATGTCCATTATCTTTAACCATTTTCCCTCATGTATTATTTCCTTATCAATAGAGAAATTAATAGGAAAGGGCCTTTACTGCAAATCCCTTTTTAAGCCTATTTGCTTACATTTTTATAAAAGTGAAATATTTTGTAAAAGAATGGTACTAAGCAAAACAAGCACCTCTGACTGAGTTCTGGAGTTAGATTTACTTGGCAGATACAACAAATCACCTGAGAGCTTTGCAATAGTCCAACCTCAAGCCCTTAGTAATTGTTGCAAGTTCTGAAAGGCACAAACTGCAGGTCCATGGCTGCTCCCATAGTTCAGCTCATTTATCCCAGACCCATTTTTAAGGACATTGAGATTGATTCCTTTAAAATTAGTTTTTAAATACACACTACCATGTATCTCACAAGGAACTCAAAAATGGTCAAACAAACCCAATAATAATTCCTACATTACTGATTTTCTGAGGACAGGAGATTTAATATAACTAACAGAGTGTTCTGTGGGAAGGGAGGTGCATTCTCTTCACTCAGCTTTGTCAACACCTTCGTGTTAAACCCAGTTCCTCTGTGTTGTGGGTTTCAACACTGCTATTGCAAAGTAATATTTGTCTATAACTCAAGTAAATGGTGTTAATAGCAAATCAAGGGCCCTGTGCATTTTTTTGTGGTCTGTTTGTGAACAAGTGTTTGAAGATTTACCTTTGTCCACAAGTCAGCACTGGTCTTTCTAAGGGGTCTTGAGAAAATTTCATTGACAGCCAATAGCAGTGAGGGAAGGAAGAATTCACAGTAAAGCCCAGAGGTTTTCCCAACTCAAATAACACACGTTATATGAACATTATCAAATAAGATTCTGCTACATTTCCAGAGAGTTTAATTCTCCATGTCTTCTGTGAGATCTAATCTACAGTTTGTTTAATTAAAAATCTCTTGTGTCTCTACCTCCTTTTACAGCAGATCTTTTAAATGAAACTGAGGGATGCTGAGACAGTTTCAGACATGGGAAATACAGCAAGAAACGGTAAGTATTTTCACTTTAATTACTGCAGTTATATTGCACCCAGTATCACTTTCTTCATTGCATGTTTTTTAAACAAAGATGTGCCCAGAATAGGAGTATATCTGTCTGAAGGGAAAAACCTCTAGGAAGATAGGAAAGAATTTTCTTTCAACGTTTGTGTACACAAAAGGAAAGTTATAATACACTGTGACCAGAATGTGTTCAAATCCCTCTTGTCTGGATCTCACTTCTCCTTCACAGCAGAGCTTAGCTGGCACTACCCTACCCTTCTGGGGTGCTGTGTGGAATATTCTGCAGCAGTAGGAACTGTGCAGGTGCAGAAAGAAGGCAGATTCAGCTGAAACACGGTAAGCCAGGACAAAGTGAAGGGCAAATCTGTTTTCTTTCAGGTTTCCCAGTACAGTTGTAGAGTTTCAGACTGTTACACCTTCATGAAGGAAACCTGTGCTAAAATCCCCTTTCAAAATCTGGGCCAAGGAGGTGCCACTCATTGAATAAATGCTAATATTGCGAAAGGAAATAACCCCCCCTGCCCCAGTCCCTGAAAAATGAGAAACTCCGTGAGCTCACTGATCCCTATCCAGGTTTTCTGATGGCAGCCTTATTTCACAGGTATGGCTGTGGAAACTGAGGTCCCACATGTGACGAGCCTTGGGAGCACACCTTACCTATGTGAAATGTCATTTAATGAGGGAGTTTGATTTCTTACCACTGCACTGCAGGATGCCATTTCTTTCACTCGTAGCATCACTTCTTGGCTAAATGTTGTTGGCCAAAATACTTGTGACACCAGTCCTCTGCTGCAGGCTTCCTGTGCTGTCAGCTTTCTCCCACAGAACAACATTTCATTTGCCTGGGAAACCAAAAGACTCTGGTAATCTTGGGTTATAATTCCCTTCAAATTTTTCTCATACTTGCCTGCTATTTTTAGGATTAAATTACAAATGTTCTTCTGTATCTTTCCATACTGCAAAATACTTTAAAAGGAGTTTCAGTAGCTATTTAAGGTTTGTGCAGGTGGCCAGAGCACAGCATGGGTTTAATTTAAGAGAAATGTGCTGGCATGCATGGTGAATCTGTACTGCTAATCTTACAGGAGTAACTATCAGTGATACTGTGTGGAGAGTCATGGAACCCAGAAGGAAATATTTGTGGGGCAAATTCTGATTTATTATACTGGTAAAAGCTAAGCAGTCTTACTGGAATCATTGTGGATTATCTTTGTATCTCGCTGTATTACTGCCCACTCCTAACATAATGCAGACAACTACTCTGCAAGGTTATTGTGCTAATGTATTTCTTCACTTTTCTACCATGATGTTGACAATTTTTGCTTTTTCAATCTTTCTTGTGTACAGCAGGTGTTGTATGTTGAATTCTAAGGTTATTTTGTGATAAGAAGCTGGTAGTAATTAGATGAACTTTTCATTAAAGACAATTAAGAAAACTGTTTACTTTTTAAAGAGAAAAGGTCAGGAATTTATGAAAGGTTCTTCAGCAATTTGAGGTGGAAAACCTTACCAGTGCAACACCCAGAATTTGTGGGAATGTGTATGATGAGCAGCCAGCTGGAGTGAGTCGGATTGTTGCATATGGTGTCTGAAACCAAGCCTTCTCACTTGCCCAAACGATATCACAGAGTGGTAAAATAGAAGCTCCTAACCCCAGAGCAGGGCCGTTGATAGCAACCACAATTGGCTTCTTAAATTGAATAAAAGCTTTTACAAAATCCCTAAAATAAAAAATAAAAGAAAGATCTTGAATACAGAAATAACACATAAATATCCAAGTTTAAAGTACTTAATCTGAAAACAAATTAGAACCACAGAAGAACACAATAAATGCCCAGTTTATGAGGTCAGGACTGCAAGATACTTTCTAGTTTGCACATGGAAAAATCTGCTTATTTTTAGTTATGTAATCTTTCTGAGTACTTGGGCTATTGCATAGTTTTGTGTATGCTGTATATGGCCTTAATTAGTGGATTGCACTACGTGTTGTACTTTTTGCAGAAAGGTTTGATTGGGTTAGTTTTACTTCTGGACCAATAACTCCTGAGTTTGTACACACAGCACTTCTTGGTTTGCTCCACAGTGGCTGGGATGGACCTTGTTTGGCTACTGATGAAATCTTATAGTCTGAATATAGTCTCTTAAGATCCTGTGTCAAAGGTTACTGCAAGTCCCATCTGTGGACTGGAAGACTGTCAATGTTTATGGCACACCAGCAGAAAGAACAAGATTGTGCAAAGAGGAGTCAGAGAAGTGTTTGAATAGGAGGAGTGATCTTCAGTTGGGTCTTCATTGCAGAAATCTTCAGCAAACCCATTACAAAGCAGATGCCCTTGCCTGACTACCCCAGTAATGGGATGAGAAATAACAGGGAAGTTAAATGTCATTGGATTCACCTCGATGAACGAACTAGAATATGTTAAATTCTGTGCAGTGAGGAGATCTTTTAAATATGTTACCTACCAGCAGCTGTGGAAAGACATCTGTTGAATGGAATGGCCTTTACACTAATTAGGAAAAAGCAAGAGTGTAATTTTGGGCAAATTATGGGCTCCAGCAGCTCAGTGCACAGCAGGTATATGGAAGCAAACGAGATGCTCAGTTACTTTATAAAAAAGACATGGATAAATCAAATTCCAAGCAAAAGAGGAGATTCCGTCCCTGCACTGGGTATTTATTAGATCCAGAGTGCATCTTTGCTGACAGATTTAAGGAAAGAACATTTTATCAAATGTACCCTTTGGTGAGTTGCTGCTCTCCTGCTGAGGTCAAAAGGATCCAGCCTCTGTACCTGAGCACAGGTGGGCCTTGCAGGTTAGAGAGCACATGCAGCAACTGGGCTGAAGTGCAGGGACACTGGCTGTGTTTTAAATGAGGACAAAGAGTCTGAGATGACCCAGCATTTAATTTTCAATTAATACATTCTGTTTTTCAAGTCCTCTAGTAAGAAGGACTATGGGAAAATACAGAATTGATGCAGTTCTGTTCACACTAGTAAACGAGGAGATCACTGTCAAGAAAAAGAGAGTGAATAAGGAACATTGGTTTTGTCTGTTCAAGACCATTTCTGTCTAGAGGAGAGCAGGGTTAAGGAGAGCTGTGATTCGTTTTCGTTGCAGACACAATGCTGTTCCCTTATTATTTCTTTGGTTGTTTATGACTGAGTAGTGACTGTGGATCACTGCACCTCATTAATTCCAGAATTCTGAGAAACTCAGTAGTTATGTAAGTCTTTCAGACAGTACTACAGTTGTGAATAGGGATGTGATGGATGATAGATAAAAAGAAAGCAAACTAAGGATAAATGGTAGCAGTAAATCTGAGGACCCAGTGGAGGCAGATAAAACCAGTGTTGTGGAGAAAAACAGGAATCATGGTGATAAATGGGAGTGGATGTGAATATGGAAAAGCAATTCGGGATGTGGAGAGGAAACAGATAATGTGAAGGAAGAATAAAGCAGAACACATTAATGGAAGGGAAGTGTTGAAGGAAGTCTTCTATGAGTGAGCAAGGAAGGGAGGACCTGGAGAGAATGGAACATAACTTTGAGAAGGCACAGGGAGCCTCTGTCATGAGGGAAGAACGAGGAGCTTCCCATCCACAGAGGATGGTAAAATGGATGGGTATGGAACATGCTACCTACAGAATGGAGTGGAAGCCTACAGCGTTGGGAGATGATGAGGGGAACAAATGCCTGTCTTTGGTCTCCAGAAGCTGCAGTGGCCAGCAGTCCATTTATCTTTGATTCCTGTTTGGTGTGTTGTTTCAGTGGGCTGTCTCTGTACCCTGAACATGGCACATTTCCTTGTCTCCAAACCGTAAGTTCACACAGGGAGTTTCTGGGCTACAGGATCCTTGTTTCAATTCAAAGCAGTCTTTGAAAAGGATTTCAGATTACAGCTGTTGTTGCACAGTAGACCCAGATGCTTAAATATAGGAAAAAGTGTCTACAGAAGGCTTCTGGATTTGCTAGAGCACATCTGGGAGGCTGACCATGAAATACACACTGGGATGCTCAGATGCCTCTGCACTGTTTCAGGCTCTTGCTGCTGGTCAGGGCTTGTAGGTACATCCAGGGATGTAAAGAAGCTGAGCAAGTAAATTTGTCCTTGTCTGTTTTCTTCTGAGCACACCCAGAATGTTGTGGCTCAGGTCCCACTGTGCTGCCCAGCTGATGGGGTGAGCCCAGTGCTGGGAGTGCCTTCCAGGAGTGTGTCAATCCCAGGGCTCTGCAGGCCACACTCAGCCTGTCTGCACTTTCCCTGCTCCAGGAGGACGTGTGGATGGTGGCAGCTCAGCCTGGTGGGCCTGGGATGGGTCTGTGACCACTGCCTGCAGAGGAGCTGCACTGCTGCACATCCATTCACTGCCAAGCCCAGTGGCTGAGGGCATGGCACCAGTGACTGAACCATTCACAGAGAGGAGACTCGATAGGGATTGAAACTTCAGCTGAAACTTGTGCCCAGTATAGGAGAGCCATGCTTTGGGACGTGGGAACACATGGTAACCAAGATTTTAATTTCACTTTGATACAAGTCTAACTTGATGTAAAGCAGCGGAGGCAGAGATCCATTGATGTATTTTAGGACATCCAAACCACTGAAAAAAGCAATGGACATTTTTTCTTCTCTTATTACAGTTTATTTTCCATGAGCTGAGTCCTTTGTTCACAGAAAGCACAGAGAGTGCTAAATGGAAAACGTAGGGTATTGTTTCCAGAAGTACAATAAAAATCTATTTTCAGTGGGCCTGAAGCCGACATTCTTGACAAGGTACAAGCAGTACATTGTACCAGTATTTCAAGAGTGTTCTGTGAGTCCAAGGGTGGAAAAACTGAGTATCACAGTCTGGCTTATAGTTATTTAAATGTTGGATTGATAAGTATACCTGTATATTAGATGTGTGCAAATAAACTTACCTAACAACACCTAGCTGCACAGTTTTTACAAAAATAGTACTAAATTTGTATCTTTTGGTGGGCGATGAGTGTGCTTGTGTTTTCAAACAAGAATAGTAATTTTCTACCTTCACTTTTTTTTTTGGTTCCACATTGTTAAAAAACCTTCACATTTAAGAAATAAACTTAGGCTGTGTCCTTCAAAGGTTTTCTCTTTTAAAATATGTCACTCCATGATATTCGAGCATATTCACGGTCATATAAACAACTTGTAACATACTACATTTAAGAAGTATCTTTTAAAGTATTTCAAAGCTACTTTGAGAATTTCAAAAGTTTTTAACCTGGAATCCAAACTGATCTGCAGTAGTTGTAACCAAGATAATTGGTGGTTAATATACTTTGTGTAATACCTAAACCTGATCTTATGTTATACTAATAAATAGCAAGTAGAGATATCTTGTAAAAAAATTATTTAATATTCCTACATAGAATTGTTGCATAAAGTTTTAAAGCTCTCAGAAGAATATTTATTTGTAGGAAATGGGGGGTAAAAAGGGATCAAATTGTCTCCTGATAAAGACTGGTGAAACACCATTGGCTTTAGTGGAATAATATTGATTTATACTGGAAAATCTGCCTTGTGGATAATGGAACATTTGGTGATGTGTTGTGCAGATTGATTTGCACCCTGCATGTCATAAACCCTGGAATTCTATTAGGGTGATGTGATATATATATATAAGGAAAGTTGCATTTTAGTTAGAAAAGCAAAATTACATTTACATATATATTAAGTAATTTAAATTTAAGAAGAGTGGAGACCCTTCAAGTAAGGTTCTGCTTTTTATTTCAACAGAATATGAGTAAGCCATGGATTCCCATTTGGACTGAAATTAATTAAAATGATGAACATTAAAACAAGTAAAAAATCTGCCTTTCAGGAACCACTTTAGAACATGAAGCAATACTGAATTTGGAAAAACAACAACAAAGTTGTATTTGAATTTGGAGGAATGATTTGAAATATTAAATACAGAGAATTAGAATAAAATAAATCCCTATGGATATTAGCATTGGAATGAATGTGCTTTCTTTTCTAATATGGAAAGGTCCAAGTTTCTTTTTACTAAACAAATTTGCAGGACTATAATTAGAATGCAATCAACATTTAAAAATACAACATTTTTGGACCTGATAAATATCTTTATAATCACACACTGCATTTCATAATTTAGAGATCATAGGTAAGCTTGGGTCACCTTATAGCTTCTGCAATCCTAGTGCTTTCCTTTCTTCTGTCATTGGATAACCTGCCAATTAAATATGAGTAATCTAGGCCACTACAGAATACACTTCCCACTGCGCTGAGAAGTAAGAGTTTACTGTCATCAGCTGATGCATTGCACAATGCTCTCCGAACTTCCTTCATGATCTGTGGATAAAGAAAAGTAAACAATTCGACATGCATGCCGTGGCAATATCATTTCCCTACTTTTACAAACCTTATTGATTTTGAGAAACTTCAATTTTGGGCACTATTATTTGTTACATCAATTATATATATAATTTTAATATAGAATGATATTAAAATCATTAGAATGATACCACTGTGAATTTGCAGAATAATTTATATTTGGCAGTGCTTTGTTGATGTTTTACTAATTCAAAGAGGTTTTAGGACTTGGCGGTTCTTTGTTCTTTGGGAAATTCTACCCAGCTTATGCTATTTGACTGCATTAATAATTTCAAATATCACTTTTTTATTTTCATTGTGTACACCACTCTATTCTTGGGAACATGTTTATCACAGCAAAAGCCTATTATTAACCTCAACAGCTTGAAAGCAAAATTTGTGAACCCCAGTTTTCTGGTCTTCAACTACTTTGGTTTATATGACTTCAATCAGAGCAAAGCAGGACAAGAGGACATCATATACATCAACATAACAAATATATTATTCATTTTTACAGTTTGCAAAAGTTAAATCATAAAAGTCCCTTGAAAAAGAGACATTTTGACTTTGTTTTATAACCGGATCAAGCTCTTAATTACACCATAAATCAAACCTAATCAAAATCTGTATAGAATTGAGCTGCTGGTATTATAGGAAAATGGCCTTTCACCTGAGCAGAGAATTGTTTCCTAATGATTTTTAAAAGGAAATTTTATTTCATAAACTTCTGATGGGTAACTTCTTGTTTGGTCACAGTTGGGTGTGGTTTGTGAGCTGTAACTCATTTCAGCCCCCTCTCCTCTATAATGTGCTCGTCACTGCAAGGGCCCTGATTTCGTCTAATGTGACTACTCCTATCCTTAATCACACCCATGTGTCAAAGTATTTCCTATAGACATGCTCCTGCTGTCTCAAATTTTTCTCTTTTGCACTGAAAGATTTGCTGTTGCTGTAAATTTAGGTAAGAAAGAGCTAAATGTGGCTGGGGATTTAAATAGAGTTTCCATGTGAGAGAAACCCAAGATTATTCTGTTCACTACTTTCTGTCACCAAAACTTCTTTAGATCTCTGAAGTGCCTTGCTTAAGAAATGCCCCTAAACACTGAAGTTTTGTTGATGCCACCCCCTGGTTAGCCTTTTAATAGAAATCCTATGGATTGTGCTGCTTTCCCTATGGGTTTGTGTAAAGATGAGTGTTACTGGCTGATGGGACTGGGCATGAGAGAGCAGGTGGTGAATTTTTAGATGCTTCACTTCTACAAGAGCACTTCAGAATGCCTGTAATACTGAGTGTGTGACAGTGGGTGGAAGTGAAGTAATTAAAAGCTGCAGAATTTGGAAGTGTATTTGAAATTCTTATGCAGGTACAAAAATGTCATCAGCAATTTTAGGAGCACTGTTTATTTTGAGAGTCTCAGAGGCTGTCTCAGCCCTCAGCTGGGAGAAACACAGCAATGCTGCACATATAATGGGGAAACAAAGGGGAAAACCCCCTAAAACCTTTGTTCAGTGTTAAAAGAGAAACTTTAGAATGTGGTAGATATTAAAATTTAAAGAAATATATTTTGGTTTTCCTAGTTCCATGTGAATGCAATGTTATCCTCTTAATTCACTGTAAAAGATCTTACAATCTACTCTTTCTTAGGGCAAATGTATAAATAATATTAGGGAATACCAGTCAAACATTTTTCTATGCAGTGGGGAATGTTTCATTAATTATGATGCCATGATGATACCCATTCAGCAAGTTTCTTTATTATGCCCTTTCCTCCAGTGGCATTTGCCTATGTGCCACCTCTTTGCTGTTACCAATGCTCTCCTTCACACACATCATTCCTGTTATGGACCTGCCTCTCTTTTATCTCACCTCTCACTGATCTGGATGACAAAAGCCATCTACAAAACATCCAAATTTTTGAGCAGAGGTTACATGTCTTGTAAGAAAAACCAATATTCTGCAATCACTGTTTTTTCAGTGTTTTAGAGAGGATGACATAGAGTCTGTTATCAGGAATCAATTTCTCAGATATGGTTAAAAGTGGGAAAATTTTGGTTACTATTTTTGAGCAGGAGGGGAAATTTAGTTCCCCTGCTCCACTTGTTTCTATCAAAAAAACCCAAGAAACCATTATCAGCTTTAACCATAACCAGTACCAGCATTATGAGGCTCCAAAAATGATGTTTTTTTTTCTAAAGAGCCGTAAATTTGTCATTAACTTTATCATCCAAAGGTGCTTGGAGGCTTGTTGGAATCCAGCAATGCCAGCTAAGTCAATGCTCACTCCCTTGGTCAGGAACTTTGCAATGGTTCCTTTGCTGGTGCAGCCCAAAATTCCCCAGGTCCCTTTGTCACTTAGCTTGGTTACAGCAGCTGCTGCTCACTGCTGCCTCTGGAGCCTTGGCTTTCCCCGTGGGTTATCTGGGGATGGGCATTTCTCTCCAGCCATTTCTAGGATTACAGGGAAGTTACAAACAGGAAAATAATTATAAAAGAGCTGGTTTGTCTGCAGGGTTGCCGAACTGTGTGTTGAACTGTACTACTGTAAAGTAAATATAATTTTAGTTTAGAACTGCTCTCTGTTTTTAAAGACAAATTTCTGTTTAATGTGGTAGTGAATTCAGTTCTCAAATACAGAGCTACAACCTGTCTTTAGTTAAATTTCTCTGTCAGATTCCATATTCTTTTTCTTTCTACCACAGCCCTTAAACCTTTCCCAATCTTGCTAAAACCATGGCATTTGTCCAATTAAATTTTATTTTCTCTAGTGAACCAGATCTAATACTACTATTTCCAGAGATCCTTAGCAATATTCTCCAGATCTCCAGTGCTTTTATTAATTAGCTTTTTTATGGCTTTTCAGGTAATTTTCAGTTCTGGGGACAGTATTTATATTTGAATGCATTTGATGAAAATTTCTAAGGCAGTGTTTATAGAACAGTATGGGCCAGTTATTTAGGTTATGATAGTTAACTGGATTGTAAATTCAGACCAGACCTAGTGCTTCACTTACTTTTTTGTTTTATTGAAACACAAATATATAATAAAATTATCACTTTCTCAGAAGTTGCTTACATTTTTAATCCTGTTAAGTAAATAATCTCATTAGCTCTTGAACAGGATATCTTATATTGCAAAATAAACATGAACCAGTTAAAAACTTCATTAAACTTCTAAGAGCTTAATTTAATGTCTTTTGCTGGATGTAGGAAATTTCCAAAGGTATTTGGTGCTCTTTGCTTTTCATCTTGCTTACATTCTGGGAAAATCAAAGAGCTGGGAATTTATCACCATAATTACACAAAGTATCTTGAACAGAAGTCTCTTGTTCACATAAATGGAAGCACAAGTTAATAAAAGTTAACTTTTCTGAATCTCTGAGGACTCACTGTGTTATTCTTAAAGGTAATTATTCTTTAAATATTACCGTAAAGCCAAATTTTAAAGCCATTCCGTTGTTCTTAGAACCTCTTCCCCACTTGTGATTTTTTTTTACGTAAATAAACTTTGTGTTACTGATTCCTTTCTGTCTGGCATCTAAAGGACTTGGGAACCTCTGAAGCTGCAGCCACAAGCACTGGCCCAAGCCCACAGCTGACTTTTGTGTAGAGAGCAGAACTACAGGGAACAGTAAACTTATACCTGCCTCTTTTTTATTATTTCCAGGTTAGGAAAAGTGAAGGCAAACCAGTGCTCCAAAATGCACCCGGCAGAACTTTAAACCCTGTTATTCACATTTGAAATGTGAAACCTGATTCTTGTGTATGAGAAGGTACTTGAGGTAGTTCTGTCACTCTTCAATGGAAGCACTGGCTGTTTAGAAAATATTTCACTTTTAGTTCAGGGGAATATTAACTCCTAGCTCTGTTAATGGTGTTAAATGAGAAGAGCTGATGGGCCCATTTAGTCTTAAAAAGAATTTGGATCCTTGAGATGTGCTGAGATAAAACAGCAGCAGCATCACTGGAGAAAGAGCTTCAGGAGTAGCAAAAGTCCCACAAGAAAAAATGCCCTGATGGAATTCATAATTAAATATTTTACAAATGCATTTAGAAAAACAAAAGTAGCAAGGCCAAGCTACTGAAATAAGAACAAGCCGTGCTGTTTTGTGACACTATCTTGGAAGTTTTATAATGTCTTGTAAAAAATAAGAAAGAATTTCTATACTGCCCTGAATATTTTTGTAGAAAAAGCTGAATTACTAAAGAAGCACTGAGCCAACATCAATCAGTGCAAAGGCTGCTGGAAAGAGCATTGGCACATTTCATGCTAAAATCACCTGCAGAAATGGGGTTACCAATAACATAGGATGAAGAGTCAGACAGACTTCTTTAGACTTTAATTTTTTTTTTAAATAAATAAGTTCTTTGCTGTTTTAATTAAATTGGCATAAATAGCAGGGGCCAAAGTTTGAACACAACTATTAAATTTCATCTGAAGATTCCTATAAAGCCCAAAGGGAAGCAGAGCTATTGAGGAGTGAGTGGGATTTTGTATAAACTTAAGTTTAAAATGATTGTTTGAGTGCACACCTTTTTTTTTTCTTTAACACAGATGGCCGAGTATAACCAGGCCACTATTTAAGCACATCAAATAGACCTGCTCTGAATAAATGATTCATTTGCTATTTGGCAAACATAATTTACTGAATGTCTAATAAAGCTTGAAGTTAGCATTTCTTTACACAAAATGAAACATACTTTCTTCATTTTGTAGGAATTGTGTGTACTTCATATTCACTGGGGATAAAAGGCATCACAACTGAAAATGCCCTAAACCTCCCTAAAACACTTTGTCAGTTTGTCTCACCTATGGCTATGGGTGACAAACTGCAGGGACAAGTCATTCAACACCTTTCTCCTTTCAGTTCCTGAGCTTTGTGCTGTAATTGCCAGCAAGAATGTGAAATTGCCAGTCCTGGAGGTGCTGGATTTTCTGGTGTGAATGATCATGGGCAGCAGCCTGGACTGAGGCCAAAGAAGCTGTTTCATGTTTACACCCATGAGTCTTCCAATGGCAAGAGCCTGTGATTGCTCTTGGCCTGGATGAGGTTTAAACAGACAATCTCCATGTGGAGAACTCAATAGCTGATTAATTCCTGACCATCCTGGTCAGTAAAGTGGTTTTCTAAAATGTATTTCCTGGTTTTCAAGTGAGCTTCAATAAAGGTTCTAGAAATAGTCTACACTGGTGATGCAGGGAGAGGACTGTTGCATGCTTATCATTTATTCTTCCACAGAGGTGGGTTCCTGGCATATTGAAAACTTTCAAAGGATGAAATGGATTGGTTTGGCAGATCCAAAGAGCCTGAATTAATCTCCTGGTTAGAGCATCTGAACACTGCTGATGTAGAACAGCACAGCCAGCAATGTAAAGGTATTTCTGTTCTGACTGAACAGAGTCCATGATTTCATATTTTTTCAGACCCTTGAGCTCCTTCATTTAAATTACCTGCAGTGTCAATTAGTGGTAATTAAGACAGAGATGGTGTGATGGATTTGATGCAATCTAATGCATTTTAAGAAATTAGTGTTAAAAGCCAATGTTTGGTGTTCTGTGGCAATTACCAAGATAGTCCTGCTAAATATTAGATAGTTTAAAAACTAGGAGTGGTAAATGTTATGTACCATCAGTTTTAGCCATTTAGTATCACTCAGTGTATTACTGCCCATGTGTACGTGTGCATTTGAGAGGGGGACTCATCATACCTACCCATTTTAAGTAATTAACTTCAAAGTTACTCATTTCCTTCTTGAATAAAATGATTCCTCAAAAGCTACAATCTACTCTTCTCTCAGGTGGTGCTCAGACTGGTATTTCATACACTCTTGAAGTTGCTGTGTAGGGCAGAGAGGGCAGAAAAAGGCCAAGATCTCCCCAGTGAAGGCAGCACTTGCAGAAGCTCTGCCTGCAGGATGCTCAGACAGGCCAGGCCAGGCTGCTGCTCCTGGTGCTCCCTCCCAAAACTTTGGAGAAAGTTTGGAAAGCCAAGATGTTTGGAGCAAAAATTTATATTCTCCATAGCAGCCCCTGTCCATCAGGCCACTGCTGCCCCTGTGGAACAGGGCTCAGTGTGAACAGGGCTCAGTGTGAACAGGGCTCAGGTGTGAACAGGGCTCAGTGTGAACAGGGCTCAGGTGTGCTCTCCCCTCTCCAGGACATCCATCCTGAAGCAAACACGGACACCCCTTTTCTTCTGACATGGGAACGGTATAACAGAGCATTGCAGCCACAGGGAATGGAAGCAAAAGCTCCTCAGCCCTTCCAGTGATCCATGTGTGCACTGGTGTAGTACAAGCTGCAAGTCTGAGTTTGCCCTTGTGTGTATAATATTTGGGACAAGGGAATTAATTTTTATCTTTTATATGCTGTATGACTTTATGCAATTCAGCTGAGGATAGAGCCCCTAATTGGTTAAGATTTCATAAATATACAGTGATTCAGAGAAGAAGTAATTAGGGATCAAGACGGAATTTAGAAAGGCTGTCTTAGGATATAAACTGAAATTCTCTGTATACAACTGGAGAACTATTTAAATTAGTAAAAGCAAAAAGACCAGATTTCTCCTAAGGATAGTAAATATCAGTAATTTCAATGTGTGAAAAGCTGCTTTGCACAATTCCATGCTGGAAATACTGATTCTGCCATTCCTTTAGTTACTTTTATTTTTTTTTTTCAGACATGTGAATTAAAATTTAATTTCCATTGCATTCTTTTGGCTAGGAATCCCAAGTGTGAAAAATGTTAAATATGCCTGTACTCCAGATTTCTTTTCTAAGTTCATCAATTAGGAAAAAAATACATAAAGTCAAATTCAAGTGCAGTGTTTGCAAGATAACCCACACACTGGGATGGGTTTCTTTGGCTTTTAGGGCTGAACACTTACCTCTGGGGTCAGTGCATTGTTTTCTGAAGTCTGACTTGACAGCAAAATATGTGTGAAACCATCTTCTTTCCGGACTACAATGTCCCTGAAGCGACAGTTACTTTCATTTTGCCGCACGCTGTATCTCAGTCTCTTATCAAAGACATAATCTTTCTCTCCATCAAGTTTCCTCTTCACAGTGCTGTGTAGATTCAAGCTTCCATTGGCCAGAGAAGAACCTTGCAGACGGAAAGAATTCAATTACCTCCATACCATCAAAGAAATGGAGTGATATTCTCTATTAGCTTCAATAATGATAAATAAATATAAAATAATAGGAAAATATAAATTAAAAAATGTGCCTGGCTAGTCAAATGTGGCCTCAAGCCATTGTTCTTATTGTGTACTCCAACGTGCAGAACATTTTGTTCTCTGATCAGACAACCTCTAGACCCAAGGAACTGATGCCATTTTGGAGAGTATCCAGCAGGAGGGGAAAAAGAGAACTGTGAGAAGAAAGATATGATTCCTCCTTAAAAATAAGTAAGAGCAATAGTAAGTCAGTTCTAAAAGACAGTTTATTCTGACTTACTCTGTGTATGAACTGCAAACCATTCCTTTGCTGATGTCTCCAGTGTTTCTGTAATAGGCAATAGATGATGACTGGTAACAGTGCTGAGTGCGGGTGTTTAAGGAGCTTTATAAGGTTTGTATGTAATAATCCTTTTCTAATTACAGATGTTTCACACTATTGCCATTAAAATAAAGCAGAGACAGTTTGTTGAGGGACAGAGATTAAAGTCAATGGTTTTTGTTTATATAGACACCAGCCCACAATGCAGCATTTTTAAGAAAGGCCAAGACAGAGCTGAATGAAAACACCTTTGTTTGCTCTGTTCTTTACTTCTGCCAAAGCTGACCTGTTCCAGCTCCTGGTTTCAAATAGCCAGGAATTTTTAAAGGGCAGATGACATGAATATTAGAATATAGGTTTAAATTTTGTAGTTTAAGTGATCACCACCCAATTAAAAATGCTTTGCTGGAATAGAATTGAACAGTGAATTCATGACAGATGCCTCTAACCCAAAATCACTTACCTTCATTTTGGATTAGCTATGTTTCAGCCTGATGCTTACGTAGGTAACTGATCTGTCTGACACCTCACAGTTGGCAGTGGCCTGTGGAATTGTTCACAGTGTGTGAAATCCTGTATGTGCACTGCAGTTAGGAGATGGGATGTGAAAACACAGCCAGTGCTCAGCAGTGTGTGACTGGGTCTCATGTGGTGTGTGCATGTGGGTACTCACACATCTACACACAGGGATCCACCTTTGTCCAGGACCCTGTTCAGTCAATCAGGAAACTCTTCTTTTGTTGTTGAATTAAGAGATACCATCTAAAGCTATACTGAATAGAGGATTTGCCTGGTGCAATGTAAACATGGCCAAGTTCCATTAAATCATCACTTTAAAAAAATCATTTGAAACCAAAAGAGTTGGAAATTTGTTTTCTTGACAAAAAGTGTCTACAAGTGTATAAATTACCATGTGCTTGAACTTTAAATGCTATGAATAATTTCCTATGGCATGTTTCTTCTTTTTCTTAAGTTTGTTTTTTGACATGTATTCTTACAACAGAAATTAACTTGTGAAATTACTAATAGAACGCCAATGTCATTGGGAATAATGTACTGAAACAAATGAACTCATTGACTGAGGCAGGCTATTAAATATTGGATTTTTATGTCTTCAATGCTTAATCAGCAATAAGCTACTGAATATTGGTGATTTCAAACTCCCCAAAAGTGTAAAGAACTTACAAAATCAGAGGCACAAATGCCCATTGAATGGAAGGTGTGTCTGACTAACTGTACTGATTATCCACCTTGTGTGGAAGATTATGCTACATCTATTTTAAATACAGATGGTAAGAGAATAGTAGAAGATTAATTCAGTCAGATAATCCAGCTCAACAAAAAGCCTCACAGTAATTTTTTTTGTTTGTTTTACGCTTTCTTATGTATTCAGTTTGTAAATTAATGTATGATGTAAGAAACTATAGATCTTATGACAGTATTTTAACTGTTTGGATGCCAGCTGAAAGAAATTTATTCAGAGGAAAGACCTAAATTAAATATGAGAGAAACAGAAATGAAAAAGCGCCATTTCCAAAAGTGGATCATTAACAGAACAATATATAGTGAGTATCTTGTTGTTTCCCTGTCTCCAGTGCATCCCTGTAATCTTGTTTAATCCGATAAACTGGAGAAAATGATCAGCACACTCTAAAGACAGCACTGATGTGGATCCAGGCCAATTTAGCAAGTCTGCTGTGTGGAGGTGGTACAGCTCCTGAAGGTCTGCTCTGGAGCCACTGGGGTTGTCCCTGCATGAGGGTCAACAGTCAGCACCTGCTCAGTGCACACAAGGGGAGCAGCACCTGAGTATGTCAAGGTGAAAAATGACTGTGGCAGGCAAAAAGAGAAATTCAAAGACTCAAAGCAATTTATACGGCATGTGAAACAAATTAAGGATGTCACCAATTAACTAAGGAAACTTTAAATACATCTAAGTGTGATTTTCTGGCTTAATAGTGAGTATTTGATGCTCACTCTAAGTACAAAAAGGGAGAAAATGCTCTTTACTGGGAGCTGAATCTAATTATTACTTTGTGTTTAATCAGCAGAACTTGTGGAATACCTAAGCCAACATTTATACTTATAAGAAGCTTCAGTATTTTTTAAGGGAACCTAAGATGTTCCCAGACCACTGCTGCCTGCAGTAATCCTTCTCCAAGAATGGCAGTAAAAGAGGGCAGTAAAGGATGCTATTTAAGGAGAAAATGCAAGCTTGGTTGCTTTCTGCAGTCCTTTCCCATAGTATCATCCCTAAGTGTTGTACAGAAATATGAGAGGGCTCATCCCTTCTGTTTCCTTCAGTGTTTGCTTGTGGACCTTTTCCTGGATTTCTCTAATCCCCTTCTGAGCCTGTTGATGCTGTCTGTCGCCACAGCTTCCTGTGGTATGAGTTTGAAAAGTTGGGTAGCCACTACACAGAGAAGAATTTTCTTTCATCTGTGCTTTTATCTGATGTTCCACCAGTTTCAGTGAGTGGTCCCTAGTTCTGCTATCAAGGGATTTCAGGAGCAACAGTTCTGCATTTAATATATCTGAGGCCTTGATGATTTTGTAAACTTTGATCGTGCTGCCCCTCAGCCACCCCCTCTCCCAGCCTCTTTTATTCCTGTAATCCTCTTCATTTTAGCTGCACATCCCTGCATCTTCTACAATACTCCACCACTGCCAAAGGGTCTGAGACTGGGGTTCCATTCTACCAGGCACTGCAGAAAACACATTAGAAATTTATATTCTGAAAGGCTGAGGCAGACAAAGAGTGGGGAGAAAGTGAGGAAAGATCACACTGAGCCTCAGTGCTCTGGGAGACCTGGAGCTCCACATCTCCTTCCACTGCTTCTGCCACTGCTGGAGAACACCTCGAGTTCCTGTTATTTTCAGATACATATTTTCTGAGTGTTTCATCAGAGCCAGTTTAACGGTGCTGTCCCTGTGCCACCACCCTCCACAGCAACCCCAGTACTGGTAAAGCAGCCACACCATGAATTGGCCTGGTGATCTGCTCTGGCTGAAAACTCACCCTGCAAAACTGGTTAATTTTCAAACAGCTGCAGTTCACCTTGTAGCCTCAAAAGTATTAAAACTGGTGCAGAGGGAGGGATGGGAATAACAATCAGGGTGTCATGGGAAGAAGAGCTGGACTGCTGCTTTTATTAGCAGAATGCATTTATGCTGAATGGAAAGGATGATGGAGCTGAGGCTTTAATTTTTCTGGGTGAAATAAGCCATGCTCCCTCACTCTCCCTGGTAAATCAGCTTGGCATTCCTCAGACTTCCCAATAGCCTTTAACTGCCTCCTTCCTGTCTTTCTTGTGGGTAATGGTTAATACTGTACATACTTAAAAGCTGTGTTCTGTTGATAATTTACTAATAATTTCAGACTTCTCCAGCAAAGGGAGCATCTGTAAGAGATCTAAAAGCAATGAGTTTTATCCAAACTAAGAGAGCAAGAATATTTGCTTGTCTTTTACTGCCAGTATTCTTTCAGAAGAAATAAACCAGAATAAGCTAAAAAACGAAGACGAAGCAGTGACTAAGTCACAGAGAGTATTTAAATCAAGGGCACCATGAGACTACAAAGATTTTCGTAATGGAGAAAACCAGTGGTTAGTGATACATGACAGGCAGAAATTCTTCAACAGATGGCACAGAAAAAGAGTGATGCAGAAAAAGGAAAGAAAATTAAAAGGGGATGTTTTTTGATGCTGTCAAGAAACTTGACAAAACAGTAACTCTCAATTACAATATCTGGAGAGAAACAGAAATGTGATAACAGAAGACAACAAATATCATCAGAAAGACCAGTATTGTTAGCTCCTGGGAGCATCAAGGGATGCTGTTCACAAAGTTTTTCAATATTTTCCAATTTGCAGACCCTTAAATAACGGTCAGTAAAGATGATTCTGCTCTCCTTATGGCAGGATGTGTAGAAAGTAGAAGACAGTTTTTGATATTAAAGATCTGTCCCAACTTCCACATGGTGCCAGGCCTCTACTGGGGTGCCCTGAACATTTTGTGCACACACCTGTAGGTACATGCTCATCCTTCTGGGGTAAAGAGCTTCCTGATGGGAGTTTGTCTAGAGGCTGAAGAAGAAACACTTGTACCCAAGTGGATTTATACACAAAACCAAAGAGACTGGTGGGTGTTCATTTAAGGAGTCATCAAAAGCTGGTTTTCAAATAGCTGTTATTTGAACAGAACTGGCATGGACAGAGAAACAAAATAGCTATTATTTGATTACTTCTAGTTTAAATATTACTGTCTATATTGCTTGGTTCAATGTACTGGTGGTTAAACATTATTATAATATGAAACAATTCTGGTTGAGGTTGGTGGGGTTTGGAGACCTTCAGGCATAGGCCCACATTGGTAGCAGAGCTGGGCCTACAGCCAGGTTTTCAAATTGTAGGGAATTTTTGACTTTTCTATATCTAGGCTTCATCTCCTGACAAACCATACATATTTTTTGTGCAGTCTTACACTCAGCTGTGAAATGAATCTGACATTCATTTGGGTTCCATACAGGCAATCTCAAAGCTGACACAAATGTCTGCTTCGCCAGATTCTGAATGGGGCTGCCCAGGAGACACAGCTTCAGGAGCTAAACCAGGTCCTGCAGGCTCCCTCTTTGCTCCACATCTAGTGCCTGGGAGCCCTGTGAGTGCTGATGGAGCATGCCAGGCTTTCAACTTCCAGACTCGGTGGCAGACTGCCTGAAACCTCTGGCACAGCTGGCTGCCTCCAAACTAAACGTGGGAGTCCGGCCAAGCCGACTGCCACACTGCTCCTGCTCCCTAGGGACACAGCCAGAGGACCTTGGCTCAGATTTGGAGAAAGTTTTGAAACCCAAGATGTTTGGAACAAAATTTCAGTTATTCAACAAATTGGGCATTTTTCTCTGAAAATTTCTTCATTAGCAATTTCTAAAATTTCAGCCTGGTTTTAGTGTGGGTTTCTGTGATAATAATGGGACACAGGGCAGAATCACACTGGCATCTTCTGGGTGAGTGTGAACACTGAGGGAGTTCAGGAAATTGTTGGACTTAGTGAAGAGTAGTGCAAGTTACTTCCACTTGATGTTTCAGACCCCTGTATCAGGAAATGTGGCTTCTCTCAAGCTTGCAGGGCAACATTAAGAAAAAATCTAGTGATTTGATTTTGACCCTTCTTCACCAATTTCTATCTGCTATTATTCAGGCAGTCTCATCTCTCTTCTTTGTGGTCTTCTCCACTCTGCAGGACTCAAGGGATTTCTGACCTTGGCAGAGCTGCTGAGTATGGGCTTTTCAGAAAAGAACCAGGCAGAGATTTAAAGATCTCTTACTTTTGCCTACAGAACGCAAGGGGAACAAAATACAGAACACAAGTGATGGATTTGGAGAATGCAAAAGCTGTCATAAAGAACTGTTTGAAAGGAGCTGCAGAGATCAGTTCTTGGGCCAGGAGGAACACCTGGCTGCTCAGGCAAAGCAGCTTTCCACTGAACGAGAGCTCTCTGCCAGAGATCATTCAGTCAGGGGTGGTGCAGGCCATTCCTTAGCTCTTCTGGCTCATTTGGCCTTACAGTTCTTTGTGACCCTTCAGTTCTTAATTAAACAAAAAATTCTAAAATATAGGCATTAATGCATTTCAAAGATACATTTTGTTTCTGAACTTCCCCACAAATAACATAAGTGATTAGAAATACATCATTAGAAACAGTAAAAAAACCACCAAATCTTTATACACATCTGTAATTAGATATTCAAATTGTCTTAAAGAGGCAGGTAACTTTTTAAGCATTCTTACATGACCTCAACCTCCTCAAAATGCAGAAGTCAAAATGCACTTTTAAGTGCTTTAACTTCAAATTTAATTGGCATCATCAGGAGTACTTATGCATTTAAATCTGACCATGCATTTTGCTGGTTTGGGAGTTTTTATCTGATGTCTGGCTTGAAAGATTCCAGTAGCTACCACATACAGCCAGTAAGACTGGGCAAGGTCAGTTCTCCTTCCCAAATCAAAGAGCATTTGCCAGGTTGCCAGTAGGGTGGAAAATGGAAAGCAGGGTGATATAATTTATGTTGACTTCTGAAAAGTTTTTGGCAGGGCAATTCACCAGAAGCTGTTAAGGAAATGAGTACTATCATGGGCTATAGAAAGTAGCTAATAAAAATAAATAATCGGAACAAGTGGTTACTTTTCATCATGTCAAGCTGGCTGTCCCAAGGACCTGCAGGAGGATTAGTTTATTTAATGTATGTATTAATGAGCTGGGAAGAGAAATATGAGAGGAAAACTTGAAGGCAATACAAAATAAGTAGAGTGAAAACTAGGAAAGATTTTGAAGAGCTTCACTGAATCAAAATAAAAAGGTGAATTGGCAACAGTAAAGCAGATTAAATGCATAGTGAAAGGGATCATACATAAAGCTGTGTTCTAAATTAACTGTAACAAGGAAGGAAAAAAAACCCAAGAGCAACTGTGGATCGCTCAATGAAAACCTTTATGCAGTGTGTAAGAGCAGAAAAAATAATTCTCCAAAGGTTCTATCATCACTGTATCAGTAAGCAGTGGGAAATCATTTGGAACAGCTCCTGCTGTTTTTAAAAGGTATTAAAACCACCCCCCACACCAACAGCACAAGAAGATACTCAAAACTCTCAGGAATCAGTAAAGCCTCCCAGGGGGCAGGAAGGCTGGAAAGGCTGGAGCTGCCTACTGACTGACAGGGCATCCTCCACTTCGTCCCTCCATAGAGGCACAAGAGGCTATTCAATGAAAGTAAAGGTCAACTCCCCCCCAACAAAACACCAAATAGCAAAACCTGATCAAATAAAATGTGCATCTTATTGTTAGCTCCTGGAAATTACTGTCACAAAACACCATTGAGGCTGTAAATTTGGTAGGACTAAAAACACACAAACCAAAAAGATTGGACGCATATAGATAACGAGAAGCTATTTAATTTCCATTAAGTCGAATAGTTTTTATAGACAATATAAACCTTATTCTTTGAGAACTAAGCCAGCCAGTAACTATGAGGATTAGAGAGAAATTTTTCCTGTATCTTCTTGCTCACTTCAAGACTGTACCTTTCTCTAAAGTATATCTTAAGACTTTTGATGTGTCCAGTCACTGCCAGAGACAAGGACCTGGCTGTTCTGTGTGCTCCTGACTATGACAAGCATAAATACTGAGAACTTGAATCTTATTCAGCCACACTTACCAGGGCACTTCACCAAGAGTGGTATTAATTCTAAAATAATTCTGGTTCCTCTAGACCACTGGGTTTGAGCACACCTAGCTGAGTAATGATTTGTTATATGGTGATACACAAACCCAAAGTTGCAGCATTATACATGTCTCAGCTGTCATTCCTGCTCCATGCCCTGTCCTCACTTCCCATAGGGATTTACACTGCAAATCTCGTGACAGAGCCCACACTGCTTCACATCACTCCGTGGGAAAGGGAAAGAGAGAAGCCAACTGATAAAAAAAAAGTGCATAATATGTAGGGAAAGTGTGGAACTTGTTTGTGTGCTTCTCACCATACCACTTGTGTGACAACAGATTTTCCACGAGTGGGCCCTACTTGCAGTTGCTGCAATTAGCACCCCCGCCCGCACAGAGGAGTTGTTTAAATCACATACCAATTCCATTCACAACAGGGGAATTGTTACTGACTTCCAACACGCTGGGCAAGTTTTGTTCTCCTTCGTGATCAGTTAAATCCACGTTTTGCTGCTGTGAGCCATTCCCAAAATGTCTAGAATCTTTCTCATGGTTGCCATCTCCATTCTGCAGGCCATTATGTGGCTTTTTCAGTGGCATAATCTGTAAACCGCTGGGAGTAGTTCGGTAAGTCACAGTTTTAGCAGCCCTGTCATTGGCAGATCCTGGCTTTGCTGCATATCCTCGTTTCTGTTTTTGATGAGATGGATTAATTCTCTTCCTTTTGTGTGTTGATCCTTTAGACTTCCCAGATTCAGAAGGTCTATGTGATATTTTCTCCACAGACGACCCTCGGCTTTCCCGCAGCAGTTTCGGTGCCTGTTTCCCGTGCCTGGATCGCTTCTCTCTGGTAACGTGTAGCCTGTTGAACTCATCAATAAATTCCTCACAATGCAGTAGGTGATGTTCAGGTTCCCAGGTGTCTTCATTGCTCCCATAGCCTTTCCACCTAATGAGATATTCCCATTTGCCCTTCTTGTTCTTCCTTTTGTCTACAATCCTCTCTACCTGAAAGGAAAAACCAAAACTGTATTAGAAAGAATTCCCATGAACAGACCTGCCAGTACAGGAGTGAAACGCAGAGCCCCAGTGGTATTTTGACAGCAAGGCCACTGCCCATTCTGAAAACATTAAAAGAGACATAAACACATCCTCAAATCTGATCTGGGCACTTGCAGTAGCTCCAGTGTGAAGAAACAAGAGAGAGTCTGAGATCATTAATGAAAGTACAATTTCTTTGAATATCTGGTTGCAAAATGAGACTGTAGCTGTAACATTCCTCAGCTACCTCTAGTTTCAAAGAGCCAAATAAAGCATTTCTTGCTGCTTTATTTGTTACTGATCATTCTCCTGAATCCACACATATATTTTGTCCCTATAAGCTTCCCCAGTCTTCTTTGTGCCTTGAAACTATCTTGAACAGAGAACTGATGACAACAAAGATCTTGTTTGCAGTAGTGTACATCCACTTTGCTGCTTCCAACTTACACAAATATGTATTTTAATGAATTCAATATTTGAGTAAATACACAAATTTTTTGAATGCACCAATTACAAAATAAAATAGCCAACAAAGGGCATTAAGGCAGGATTCTTACATTGAAGGATTGAATTCTATCAGCCTGTGTTGGAGAATGTCATTGTAAGGAACATTTCTACACCAAGGGCTAATGGACTGTATTGGGACTGCACCCTGAATCTGAATTAACATCATTACACTGTGGAACCTGGGTGCTGGTCAAGCCTCAAGCAGAGGGACAATGCAGAGGAAAATCCAAACACACCACAGCAGTGGCAGCAAGTTTGGATTAAACTGCACCAAGTAAAATTCAGATCAAATCATTAGGAAAAATGTTGTAATGGCAGTAGGAATTAAGTATTCGAATAATACTTGATAATGTGGGGAAGGTAGGCAGGGTTTTTAGAACACAAAGTTTTTGTTACATACATCTGCCATGAAAAGTTAATGCTGGAAGATCAGTTATGATAAGGAAAATTTCAAAGACTCTGTTTTATTTTTATATTGTTTAATTTTTAAATTTTGTTTTTAATATGTTGTTTATGAAGGATAAAGATGCCACCAATGAAAAAAAAATCATTATCATTAACCCAAAGAAGTATTTTTAATTAAAAAAATAAATAAGTGGATAGATCATGTAACAGCTTTCACTGCTCCTTAATGAAAAATCATCTCATGTGAAGAACAACAGTGGAATCTGTAAGGAGAATTTAACCTTGAAGAAGGGCAATCACAGCAGTTAAGTAATTGTTCATTTTAGGTCCCCTGTTAGAGCAAACCAATGGATTAATTCTGTCTGTTCACTGGCTGGAACTGTACATTCACGGAAATCTTGGTGGGTTCCCCAAAGGAGTCTAAATGTAATTAGCAACTAAACATTATACTTCTATCTTCTATCAGTTCATTTACATGGGAACTGTGCTAAGATATCTGTCTCTGAGTCATAGTGGACACCTTCCTCCATCTCCAGGGCTCCCACTGCAGCATCTCAAACGGCTCCTTCCTGTGCTCTGGCTTATCAAATACCTACACAGAACCACCTCAGAAGCAAAGCAAGGCATCCTCCTCACTCTGAATTTAGCACAGTCCCCTTCAGGATTGCTCAGAGAGGCAAAACAATTAAATGAAGCTCAGCCTGGGCAAGTTTGAGATCATTTGTCTGAAAAGAGGGAGAAGGCTTCACAAAATGAATGAACTAGCATTTTTTTAACTCATGTGGGATGTGTGGCTTTCAATTGTCAAACTAATAGTAGACTTATTATGATCTTGTTGACTTTATAGAGAGCAGCCGTCTAAATTATCCTTGGCTTTAAAATACTTTCATCTTCCTATCAGGGACTGGCCAGAAAAGCTGTACATTGAACCACGGAACTCTGTGTGGGCTGCCTGTGGATTTGTTACCTTAATTACTGCAGCTTGCTATACCAAGGAGCACAACACATGCATGTATGTCCTGGGGAAAAAATTAAATTGCTGCTAAACTCGGTAGACCACAGCTATCAGTACTGGAGAGTCTGGGTTACTGCTTTTCTGTCTGTACCAGATAAACAGCACATGCATTCCCCTCCCTTTTAATTCAGGACTCTGGACTTGGAACACAAACTCTGTGTCAGTTTGGTGCTACTTGGGAGTTACTTGTCTTCGTTTTGAGAGATTGCACCAGCTTTGTTCCCCGAGTTGCTCACTGAAGGAAGAACCTCAGAAAGGATGGACAAAACCTTTTATGGGATCACATACAAAAACCTTTTTTCACTTGTGCACATATCTTTAACTACACAGATTTCTTATTTTCACATTGTTGCTCTATGTGAAGAGGTTTTGTGGAGGGTGTTGTTTAATACGGAACACACTCAAGTATTTTGGTGATGAGACATTGTGCATTTCAATTAGGAGAATAAAAGGAGAAAATATGAGTAGTCTTTCTTCCTGGAAAATAAAATAATGGCAATGGAGGATGTGATTAACCACTTCAACACATCATGAAGGGAGACTAAAAGTATTCATGAAATTGGGTCAAATTTATTAGTTTATGAAAAAGCATTCAGAAAGCAAATATATTTGGGTAAGACTAGCCATTTCATTACAGCACTTGCAGAACAAAACTATCAATGTTCAAATTTAACTAACTAAAATAAAGACTAAATAAATTGAATACAAAATGTTTTGTTTCTGGTCAGCCATCTTTTCAGTTTATTGTTTTTTTGGGGAGAAAATGAAAAAAATGTGGTTTAATCCAAAATGAGTTTGTTTTCCTTGATTTTTTTTAGTTCAACCATAATGCCCACTGGCTTGACTAATGATGCATAAAAAGTCTGAGTAGATATTTTCCTGTCCTCATTACAGCCTCACTTTTCACTGAATGAATCTGAGGGTAGCATTGAATATACTTGACCTCTCAACATGGTCCCTTTTCTCTCAGTAATATTTATCCCCTTTAGGTGCCACTGGGAAGTGCTTCAGTGGAGGCATAAATATCAGGGTTTTAGCCACACCTGCTACTGTCTGTCTCATCTTACTCCTATCTACAGTCCACAGTAACAACAAACACCACTGCTTTGTTTTTTTAATGATGTGTATTTGTTTTAAGTAGTACTGTGTGAAATAATTATCTTTCTGTATTTACTTAAGGTTGCACAAATCATATCAGTCTTCTTAATGAGAAATAATTCTGTGACATCTAGTGATTAATAGAAATAATACTTTAAATCCTCCCCTAGAATAAGCAATACATGTTTCTGAGAATATGCAGCAAATATCTAGGGCTTCAGTGTCTGATTTTCCATTTCCCCCCTTTCCATCTTTAATCAGAACTGAGTAACATGTTCCTGAAAGTGACCCTGGTAGTTACAGTTGCCAAATCCATGATTTCACCATATTTGCTTTGGAAAACTGAAGAGTTAAATTTAATAAAAGTGCAATGACTACAAACAAACCTTGTAGAGGTATCACAGTTAAAAGATTGCTAGAAATGTCATGTACCATCACTTCTCTGGATTCTCTCCCTGCACCCGCTGGCTAATTCTGGATGAACTGAGGTTCTGATATGTTACCATATAAATACTTCTAAAGAGAACAAATAGAATAAGAACATGGCATCTGTGCAAATGCATTTGCAACACACTTTTTAGCTTCCAAGTAGCCTTAAACCTAGCTCAATACACAGCTGCACAAACTAGGATGAAAATCATAAATAAAAAGCCTTTAAAAATATATCTGCATTCTATACTTCATGTGAAATAAAATAATACATTAGTGGATTAAAGTACAAATATCTAGAGCTTCATAAACTTAAGTGTTTTCCTTATATATGCAGAGTGCAACAAGCCTGCCACGCTTTCTTTACAGAAAATTCTGGGTCAAAATCATTTAACCAGACAATGTTATTGTTTGCTTATCAAAAAAATTAAATCTAGACTATGTTAAAAAAGGATAATTCCTATGGAATTATTTCTACAGCTGTAACTATAAAGTCAAAGCACAGCATACTCATCTCAGTTCTCAGCTCTGAAGAGCATAAATAAAAATCCTTGTGCTCCCAGAAAACACCTTTTGGGAGATGAGTAAACTTCTAGAAACATTTGGAAGGTTGCAAATCTACTTAGTAATTTTCAAAATTAATACATGTCATCTCCTTTTCGTGCCATGCACATCCATGTAAGCAATTTAAACTGTAATCAGTGGTGTTCAGATGGTCTCTGTTAGTGAACTCTTCACAGCATCAGAACAACTGCATGACAGACACTAGAAAAACTGCCTTTCATTACTATGATTACAGGACTTGTACTGGTTTATGTGGTTTTTTTTCATAGGAGGTCTTTGTCCCATGTTGTGCCTGAGGGTGTTGGAAGGGTATTTGAAGAAAATGCCAAGGAAGGAAAGGCAGTAAGATTTCTGAGAGAGATAAAGGCCATCTGATTCAACATGTTTGTCTTTTAAAAATTCAGTATTGCCCTAACTTCCCCCTTTTTGTTACCTTTGCTTTAGGAAATACTGTATCTCATTAGCAGTAAATCTTTTGCCTTCTTGTCTTTGTATCTTATTTTTGTTTTTCTTGTCTTTGTATTTGATTTCACAAAATCTAGTAATTGGAGCATTTGTTCCAAATGTACAAAAAAATACAGCCACATATCTTCTGATGCAGCCAGCATTCATGTTAGAAAAATAACAGTGCAATGGCTGCTGGGACTCTCTTCAGAATCTGACCCACAGAGTAGGTCCAGCTACGGAACCCCCTCAGTACTAAATTTGTGTTGTTACCTGGAAGGTCAAAATGAAAGGGCTAGGTAGTCTTAAAAACAAAAGAGAAGCCATTCCTCATTGGAATCACTCTTAGGCAAAACATCAAATGACATCTTCCCAGGAAAACCAGTGAACACCCTATTAATCTGAACAGACACTGCCTTTTATTCAGTTCCTTTTTTTTTTTTTTTTTTTTTTTTTTTTTTTTTTCTTTTTAAGCACATGGGGGTTTTATTTTTGGTTTTCCTATTTTCTTATAATCAGAAGAGATCTTAAACTTAGTAGGGAACTCCTGGAACTTCTGCACTGTCACTGGGATCAACCTAGTAGAGAAACCACTGGTATGGAAACCACTGCATTGGGTATGTGTGTCCTTCAACACAGACATGGGAAGACTCACAACAGAACAAAGAAATGCTGTAAGATCTCCTGCTGCTCCCTGTCCTGCACCTTTGATTTTCCCCTCCTGAGAGACAGTAGCACTGCAGAGGTGTCATGGTTGGGGTTCAGATGGAAAACCAGAAGTGCAATGCCATCAGTTGTATTTACAGCAGTGGTGTAGCCCTTAGAAGTTACTCCTCAGTTTGGTGTTTCCACATTCCTCTTTTCTGGACCAAATACTTTACTGCAGAAGTGCCCTTTGTTAGTTACCTTCCCTGAGCAACACTTGTGTGAGGGGCCTTCTGGCAGAGGGAGTTTCCCTTCATCACCAGCAGAGATCCCGTGAAGCCCAGGCTGAGGGCCTGAAGCAACCACAGCTTCCATGGACACTCATATCTCCAGTGACCTTACACCAGCTCTCTTGGAAGTCCCACCTTTCTGTGAAATTCAGTCTCATTGAAACAATTCTGGTCTGGTCTCCACTGCTCTTTTCTGATTCTCTCCAAACCTGTCTCCAGTCCCACAGTGCGGCCCTGGCTCCCCTTTGGTCCTGCTATTCACTCTACCAACAGAACCCGTTTTCTTACCCCGTCCTCTCATGTTTTGTTTCCAAAAGATACTTCCTGGTCAGAACTTAAGAATGCTCAAATCTCTCAGTCTGTTAAAGCCATTTCCCTCTCCCACTATCAATTAAGGATGTAATCTACATCACTTTCTTTTCTTAGGATATTGAAGTGTATGTGTATAAGCTATACCTGTGGGGAAGTGTCAAAGTGGGTTTTGGAGCAAACAGGAGTAAGAATACACACAAGAGTCTTGCACTGAAGGGGAGGTGTTTTTGTACAAACGGATACTGTGCCCTAGAACAGGAAACTTGTCAGATGACATAGGGATCAGAAAGAGACTTTTCGGTCAACTGGTGTAGTCCCTGTCATTGTAGGCAATTACATCATACAAACCCTTTCATATCGGACATGTTTGTGATACAAAACATATTTCTGTCCAGGCTTATTGCTCATAGGTTGCACAGCAAACAGCTGTTCTTTCCTAAATACATTCATTTTGTTAAAAATGTTTTGGGCTTTCATTTGGAAAGCGTGTTTTCCAAGTCGCAAAAGAAGTGCATGCAAAAATGAAGATCCTTTATAGCAGCAGGTTAAGGTAATCTTGAGAATGTTCTTTATATGGAAGAAGAACAGGAGCTTTTCCTTTCCAATCCAAGAGTGCATTCATGTCATCAAAAACAGTAATGCAATATGGGGGAGACCTCTTTGGATCTGTTCCTCCATAAAAGGTTTAAATCCTTTTGACTTACAGGCATTAATCATCACATACAACACATGTGGAAATCAAAAAAACATGGGTGTTTATGTTTCTTTTAAAGCACAGTGACACATTTTATTTATCAAATCTCTTGTATTCTTTCGTACAATAAATCAGTTTGCTATTGTATTTCAGTGATAATTGTTGTAACGAAAACAAGAAGCAGGACATTCCAAATTCTTGGGTGTTCTTTATGCTAAAAAGTGGTTCAGTTCTGAACACACCCACAACAAACTTGCTGGCACAACTCATTTCTGCCAAGTTCAATGGGATTCTCTCAATCTCAATGGGATTTCTACTATCTGAGTGTGTGTGTGTGGGAAATGTGTGTGTTTATCAGCAAAGAAGGGTTCAGCACAACCTAGTATGGTTCTGATTCTGCCTATGCTTCCTTTACAGTACTACAAGTCAGCACAGTTACTCCCTATTTGCTTACATGCAAGTAAAACCTAAATAGGAATCTCTGGGAGTTCAACCATGAAGATTTTTTTATTTTAAAACAAGTTTATAGAAACAGAAGCACGATTTGAAGAGATTTCTATGCAAAACAGTGTTTATGTGAACAGATCACTGTTCTCTCAGTAGAGCTGCTTGGAATTTGTTAAAAATATTCATGTTTCCAAACAGATTTTGAAATGTGTTAAGTAATACTTAAAAAAAAATAAATATGGCTATCACTAAAGGTGCTCTTCAACATTAAAGCAACTCCAGAATTGCAGGAAGCAATTATTAATTTACATCAAAATTTTACCTGAAATAATTAGAAAAAGATTAATGCTGTTTTCTTTTATATTCATTGGCAGTTATTTCTTCTCTACCTTGTTCAGTTACAGCTTTTTTTGGTGTTTTTTGTACAGCTTACACAGTATTTTTCTTCACCATATGGGCTTCATTCAGATTCAACTCAAGGCCAGGACTTCAGTTCAACACTTTTACATCCATCCCAAAGCTTAGTCAGAAGTGAAGATTCCACATTAAAAAAACACAAAGGTTTAGCTATAATACAGCATAAACAAATATTTGAACTATTTGCTGTACTACCACTCAGTGAGTCATTGCTTTCCAAATGCTACTGGTACGACTGTCATAAAACAAACCACATGTTCTTGTGGGGTAGGTAGAAAAATATTTTCCTAGCCCTTTTACAGCAAAATGGTAAACTTGAACACAGAGATGTGAAAGCTCTGGTTTTGGGGAGCTCTGCATCACTAGATGT